AAAAAAAAAAAAAAAAAAAAAATGAAAAAAAAAGCACTTTGACGTTCTGATCTGCGCAATTACTTACGTTGGAAGTAATTATCACATCCTAGGAAGTCGTTATAAGGAACGAGTTATCCGGGCTATTTAAGTTTTACAAGAGTACTCCCGATTATCTCGTTCGGTTTCACTTTCACTTTCATTAATCTGCAATTAGTAAATTAATTTAAAAAACATTGATAGTTGCTTTTTTTTATCAACAGTTGCTCTTAGATCCAATTAACGAAATAAATTTTTGTTGATTTTCCTTTTCTTAATAATCAAAATTTTTAATGAATAATGAATTTTGTTATTTTTATGTATGTTTGTGTTATTGTTTATATGTTTTATGTATTATGTTGCTTTTAAGAAAATTCTTTGCTTTATAGTTGAACTGAATGTTTGAATCAATCTCGTGTCGTTTCTTCATTTCGAGAACGTATAACAAATATGCAAATATTCGCAATAAGAATACTGATGAATCTAGAGTATTTGGCATACTCATACATTTTATCATTTTACATGTCTGTATTTTGTTCTTGTTGTTATTGTTTTAGTTTTTCTGTAGAATTCTACAATCGGAGTAATATATTACTGCGACCCATTAATGAGACTCTAAGTATACCGTCGTATCAGGAAAAATGTTTTTTTGATTGTTTTGTTGAGTCTTTTCATTTTTTTTTTCTCTCATTCTTTCCTTCGCAAAAGACAATCATAATTTATTGATTTTCCCAATGACGGATTTCATTCTATTCAATATACAATTCCTTAAATGGAATTACATTTGGTTTAAATTACAAAAAATACACAGAATGCGTAATACGTATAAAAACGTGTCGTTTATGCGTCACATAATTATATTTAATCTATAGTACTTGTCGATTGTAAACAGACTTCGAAATGTGTATTATTGATCATAAAAATCAATAGAATAAATCGATAATGGCTCCCAGTTCAATAAAAGTTTAAGATAAAATAATAAAAATCACAAACATAATATTATCATTATATATGATTATCAGAATAAAGTATTTATAAGAGAGATTGAGATATTTAAATATCATTCTGTTTATACATTAAAAGAGCATATTTGCAAAAATTTCGAAGTCTATTTGCAGTAATCGATTCGGGTCAGATAGTTTTATATTGAGTTATTAATGACCACCAGATTATACCTAGTTAATCGCTACTATGCTGTTAATATATCACGAGCTATAGTGATATTATACGTTAACTAAAAACATAATATCGCTATTATCTCTATGTGTTCTTGATTTATAATATTCTATGTGCGTTATAATTTGTCGTTTTCTACATCGAAAAGCATGATCATGAAACGTAAAAAGTTCCATTTGCTTTGACAATGGAATACTTCTGTGTATGTTCAAAAGATAATTAGCTGCCTAATGTTTGGTATACATGGATTTCTATACCTCTGGTGAATTCTGTGTAGACGCATTGATATGATCCTGTAAACAAATTCTGAGATCCCGCTCGTCCAATTCACTTTCAGTGTCAACACTGAAACTTCTTACATTTTGTCCACCATGACCTGTCCAACGTTGTTTCCAACTTTCTAGCCTCATGACCTGTAGCATACATTTAATATGCAATTATGTTTATAAATTTTAGGAATAATTTCTATGAAAATCTATATAGATTTTGTACATCATCATTTTAGAAAGGAATGTGCTTTACATTTTCTTCTCTAAAAATATTTTGACACAGTTCAATTATTTTCTAATTTGTTGGACAACTGTGAATTATAGTTTTTAATATAGTATATATAATTTGCTATTCTATTAATTATAAAACTTATTGTGTCAATGATTATTTTTAGGATAGTTTTTGTAAAATGATTAGCATTGGGTACTAATTTTTAAAACTAATACATGATAAAAAAAAAAATTGTGCAATTTTTATGATTATATATACTGCTTATGAAAATTCTTCTCACATTTCTATTGTATTTAATTCTTCACTTAATTTTTTTAAAGTAATAAAAATTGCCTAAAACCAAATAATGATTCTTAAAAGATGCAAGAAATGAATAAATATAAATGATCACAATGATTAACATGCATTTTATTCTAATATGTTTGATAGTTCGTTAAAAAAATAGAACAAAAAATAATAATAATAAGAAATTATTGAATTTTCTTTATTATAATACTAAATAAATATATATTATAATATTGTATATATATTGTATACTATAATACTAAATCCTATTTAATTGTATATCGTTTATGTATCGTTTCTATAATGTAAGATTAATTTTCAAATATTAAATAATTCTTAATATGCATTTCTAACTTACTGATTAGCATTAATTTTTCATTTTATATAAATCATAGTAAAATATTATGCTGAAAATTATATGGAGAGCATGCATAATCAATTTTTTAATATTATTTAAGCAACATGTTAAATAAACCATAAGATCATGAATATTCTTAAAGCATTTCCAGGATGTGCTTGGTATTTCTTTCTATCTTATTTACACCTGTAGTAAAATAAATAAAGAAAATGAAAATGAAGCATGCAAATAGTGATGTGCAAGTTGCAAAGCATATACATACCAAATGAGAATCAAACTGAGTGCTCTGCTACATGTACAATTGTAAGACAGCACAAGAAATCGAGGTAATGGGGGAACAAATGTGTAGGTATCAAAGAAAAATCCAAAGACATTAGAATATCAAAATTCAAAGATAAGAACATTTGTTATTCTAATGTTTTTCTGAATCTCATAGCACTTGATTGTAGATTGAGATGAATTGTCCTGTAATTTAATATAGTATTTATAGTTTTTTATAAAATATATATACAGAACTATATATATAAAAAGAAAATACAATTTTCTGATACACGTTGACATCATGCTAAGTACATGAAATGGAAGAAAATAATGCTTACGGATGGATAAAGACTTACTCGAGCCAGCGCCAAGGCTCAGTCTCCGGGCTGGTGATTGGCGTAGGGAACTAAGGAGACAGAGATAACACAGCAATAGAGGGTTAGTTTTACAAGAGCATTAGTTTTTTTGTGTTAGTGTTTGGTACCTTTACACAATAAGAATTCCGCTCATAATAAAAATCAAAATTCAATTATATCATCATCTCATCTTTTTATACTAATGATGTTTTTATTTGATAATTTTTTGTTAATAGTACACATTATTATATATTTTTGTCGAATATCTAATTAATATAAAAAATTAATATTAAAATAAATAAGCGATATCTTTGAAGGTATAAATAATATTTTTTTTGTGTCTTTTTTTTCTTTTTCTCTTCTTCTTTTTCTTTTTCTCTTTTTAATCAAACCAATTATTACTCCGTGCTGTGCTAGCTCTCAATGTCTAATACAATGTTCTTGAAGCACAATTAGTATTACAAATGGCAAGCTTGATTTATTGTAAAATGATTTCAATAATATTTGTCTACACAAAACATTTCAAATATTAATATCAAAACATTGAAAATTTGATACTTGCATTATAATAACATTATAATAAGATATTTATAATAAATTTTTTTAATATTATATTTTATATAATTGATTTTTATAATTATTATCTCATGAATTTAATTTATTGCAAATTTTCAATGTAGAATAAAATTATATAACAACACATAAATATTATCATTTGAAAAGATACTTTCTTATATTGTGATGCCCTCAAAGATATGTCTTGGTTCAATACAATGATGATTATAATATTTTCACAAATGCAAAAAATAACATTAAATGAGCGGATACCGTAATCACGATTAAATTTAAAAGCAATTTGACATTTATTATTTATATTTTGCATTGCAGCATAAACATAACAAGCCGTGAATGCATCTTCAAAGCTTTGACATGTAAATAATTTCTTCTATGATTTAGAAAATTCACAATCATTATGTGAATATATAAAATTAGAAGTAGAAATAATCATAGATGCAATTTTGATGATGGAAACACGATGAATTCTTAATGTGTACAGGTACCTCTAAAGGAATGTTATTTGTTTAATATGAAAAATGTGAAACGATTGTTCTTGTCGATAATAACAATTAATAATAAATGTAAAAAATATGTATCATTTTTTTGTAAAATTCATTAATTTTACAAATTAATTTAAAAATGTTCATTGAAATATTATTAAAATTATATTAACTAATCATATTAATATGAATTCTTAAATAAAAATCAATAATTTTATTAATATTGATAAACTTTGTTTCAATATTAAATTGAACTTAGAAGAAAAAAAAAAATTCTGAAATAAAAATTACAATCAAATATTTTATAACACATGATTTTATCAAAAAAAAAAAAAAAATTATTTATTAGCGTGACAATTAGCATTACATTGCAGTAAGAGGTGCAATTTGGTGCATAATTTTGTGAGTCACAATAACATGAAAGCATAAATTACACTTTTGCTTATGTTACATATTATTATGATAGATATAATTTTGTGCACCCAACAAGTATAACTGAATTATATACATATGTTTCTTCAATATATCGTCCTTGTTAAAGGAAATTAGAATAGTTAGAATATTATTAATGATACATTAAAAATTTAATTCTTTATGAAATATGAATAGTGCGATAGAAAGAATGATAGTAATGTTAAATCCTCATTAACATAAATTTCAAGATGAAAAAAAAGTGAGCGTGAAAATTTTTTACAAAATAGTGTTACAAAAATGTGCATTATCAGAAATGTGTATGATTAAATAAAATTATTGCTATAATGAATTGTAAAAATTAAAAAATTTGAATTATTGTTTTTATTAAAATTAATGATTTTACGTAGAAAAATTCTATAAATATATCTAAAAAACTATCATTTCTATGAAATTATAGTTTATTACATAATCAAGTAAGAAATATATTAAAAATTGTAATTAAGAAAACTCAAATGTATTAATGAATATGATATTTGTATAGAATTATATAATTTGATGACTAGACATATGAATATGCGGGAATTGATATGAGGAACCTATAACAGACTATCAATTTCTATCTCCAAATTATTCAAATATATGATAAATCTTGACATACATTACGTAATTCTACAAGCTTCGAAATTTACTAATTTGCAATCTAATAGCAAATCGAATAAAAATTGTATTTTAAACTACTATAATATGATCATATTTCTACATTTTTATGAACTATCTTTATTATTTCTACCATTGATACTTTGAACGATTATATGATAATTAATATATGTCAAATAAAGAAATTTCAACTTTAATAGAGGAAATTTAACGAAAACCATTGACGATCATAAACATATATAATTATTATTACATTTGTGCATAATTGAAAGCATTCGTAAATTAATTTCCAATACTAAAAAATATACGTCTTTAAGATTTCATGATTGATTTCATTTTTTACATTGAGATTTAATGCTAAACTTAATAATAATAATAACAAAAATATCATGAAAAAATTAATACATGCAAAATATGTAATATATAATATATTAAAGCTTTTGATAATTTTTTCTTCATTTGTAAAAAATAAAAATGTATCTACTTTTTAAAAAAGTTTTTTTCATTCACCTCTTACTGCAATTTTTTTTTTTTTAATCAATGCTTTCATTAATGCATCATGATACATAATGAAGAATTTTCACTTACCTCAGCTTTTAATTCTGCAACTTTATCTTGTAATTCTCTGACTCTTTCACTGTCATCCAAATTATTTCTAAGTTCACCTTCCGCATGCATTTCTTCATTCTATAAGAAATAAAAATAATTGATATATATTGATAATATATTCATATTAAAATATCAAAAAAAAAAAAAAATTATACAAATAAGAAATAGTACTTTTAACTCAAGGAGAGATATTTTTTGCGTAAGTTCTGCTACTTGCTGCGCATGCTCTGCATCACGTATCCTAGCCATCATAGCTTCATCCTTCATCTTTGATTCTAAATCAGAATATTTATGTTGTTGCTCTCGTAATTTAGTAGTGAGTTCTTTCTCTCTTGATAAGGCAGCTTCTAATTCATCCTTAATGAATTTTCCACCTTCGTCTTGTCGACGTAGTTGATTCGTAGCAACTTGTACTTGAGTCTCAAGCTCCATGACTTTAAGTCTAAGCTCTTTCACCTCGGTTAAAGCTTCCATTTCTCGAATTCTGGTTGTCATTAAATCTTCTTCATATTTTTGCACTTCATGTCCCCGATTCTCCCAAAATAGAAGTTTCTTCGGCGTAGAATCACTTGCGGGTTGTGTTTGAGCGGAACGATGTTCTTGCAAATGCCTTTGCCAGGCACTGCTTAATTCCATTACTCTTTGCCGAAGATCCTAACAAATTTCTCATATTATAATAAACATATATATATATATTTTAAAATTAGTAGAAAATTTTAAATGATACTTTTTAAATGTAAAAAATATATAGATTTCTAAAAAGAAAAATTACCTTTAAAGAAAGATTAGCTTCTGCTTCTCTTAGTTTCACTGCAATTAATTCTTCTTGTAAATGAGCAACAGAATTATCCGGTGTTGTTTCTCGTAATGTTTTTTTATCTTCTTCTAATTCTTGTATTCTTGCTCTAAGTTCTCTTATCGTTGCTTCATTCTCTGCCTCATATAATCGAACCTTTACTAATTCTTCTTGTAAACATTGTATCATTTCTTCTTTTTGCGACAATGCTTCCTGTTTTAATAAAATTTCATCCAAAGAGGATTGCTTTGATGTCACATTTTCTTCTAGTAGAAGCGACAATGATCTCAATTCTTCATGAGCTTGTTCAAGTTGATGACTGGTTTCAAGATGAGTATGTCGAAGAGCTGCTAATTCTCTTTGTACAACGAAAGCAGTTTCTTCCTCTTCTGCTCGGGAAACTTGACCCCTGACTAATCTATCTGCCAATTCTGCAGATTCAGCTTCCAGAAGTTCAGTTCTTTGTCTAAGTAATCTATTCTCGGCTCTAAGTCTACGGAGCTCAATCATCTCTTCTTGCTCTTTCATTTTCAACACGGTATAATCTTTTTCAAGTTTCTTCATTCTTTTTGAATTTATTTTCATACTATAAGCAAGATTCATGAGGCCATCAGGATCTTTCTCTGCTCTTCCAGGTAATTGTTTCTGAAAGAACTGCATATGAAAGAATCGATAAATATTAATGAAACAAAAAAATGCCACATGTAAATAAATGTAAGCCACATGTAAAAATGTTTAATTATTAAACCTATAATTTATAATATATAATAATTTAATAAAATTTATAATAAGTTGATTTTTTTTATAAATAGATATAATAAATTCTTTTTCTAAATATTCTTATTTACAGATGAGATGTAAAATTCTGATGATAAGAAATTACCTTCAACATGCCTTCCATGTCCAAGCTTAATAAATCTTCTTTGCCTAAATGTAACATGGCCAGTGCAACTTTGAAAATAATTTCCATGCCTTCAGATAGAAACACGTCAAAAATGCGGCAGGCCAGCGATAGACTGAGCGTTGTAGTAAAAAGCGTAAGAAACCAAGACGATGCGTACATCGATGTATGAAAACCTTGAGCCGCAAAATGAGCGTGTAACTCGGGATGCGTGTCAGCAACTAAATGTTCTAGCTGATACATGCACACCCCTAATTCAGCCATACTCGGCTTGAACATGTCTCGCAAACGATACTCTTGCATAAGCGCTACCAGTACAGCGAAAGCTTCTTCTTCTGGCATTTGCTGTAACAACAAATTAATATACCTATTTAATTTTTATCAGCGTAATTCATCCCATGTTTTTCTCTTTTTTATCTTTTAAAATTATTCTTTTTTATTCTTTTATATTCTTCTACTCCTACTCAAACATTAAGTGTACCTGCATAAGAAGTAATCCTACAATAAATCCCGAACCTTGACAATATCCCACTTCACGATCATGAAGACTATATGCTTTCATAACATTAAATAAACTTTCCTGGCCAAGCCCATCTTTTTCCTTAAAAAAATCATGCTCAGGATACGTTCTGGCTATATCCCTTCTGATTATCCTTTCGCATGCGGACGTGGCCTTGATATACTCAGCGAATTGTTTTTTCACAGGAGAGTCATGAGCACCACTTAATAACTGCCAAACAATACCTCTGTAACGATGAATATAAATCAATTTTTCCTCAATTGAAATGCTTATTTTTTTTTTATTTTGCTAATTATTTCATATAATTTTTATTAAATTTAGAAATTTTAAAAATCATCCAAAATTACTAATGAATTTGATAAATTTAAGCTTTCTTCTAAAGCATTGATTACCTAAAATGATGAGGTATTCCTTGACGCACTAATTCTTTGACGAATTCTTTCCTCTTCTTCCAATGATAATCCCAATCAGCGACGATATGACCCCATAGGGTCCATGTGTTCTCTTCACCATCAGCTGAATTGTGGCGTCGGGGTGCAGCATCGCCATTTCCTCCGCTGCCCCCCGACGCCACAGATACTTGAGATGTGTCAGAACCTTTCCTACTGTGATTACTTTGGAGCGAATTCAACGATTTTGCATCCGATTCGATAAGCCTGTTATTAATTATATCAAACTCTTTAAGACAGGTATTTTTCCTTAACTCAAATTTAAACATTTTTTGAGTGGTAACATATGAGATGATTAATTCATGCCAATTGAAATAAAAAGCTCGTCTTTAATAACAACGAAAATATTTGTAACAATTTGTCAGAAAATTTTAATTTTAATTGAATGAAATTATGTCCTTAGATTTAATTAGTTAAAAAAAAATTCATTAAAGTGTACAATGTGAAATTCTTGTTTACTAACAAATGCCAGTTCTTTTTTTTTTTATAAATATTAAAAAGTTTTACAAAATATTAAAATTATTATTTTCATATGTTACAACCCAAGATTATAACAAGTATCCTTAATGCAAGAGTATATTCTTTCTTTAAAAAAAAATGTGTGTAGTATCGTTTTCAAATATATAAGTTTCAAATATAAATGATAATAAACACAAAATAAGCAGAACTGCAAAATTAATAAAAAAACATACTACTCATAATAATTAAAAAATCTTTCTAATTCAAAATATGAATTAAATATTAAGAATGAGAAAAGTTTATATGTGTAATATTATGAAACTTTTATTAACAATAATATCATATAAGATATTATATACTTCAATTTATTATACTTGTATATCAATTTCAATAAAACTTTATAGATAAAGAGAAAAGAAATATTTACACATGTTATTTCAATTACATAATTGAAGAAACATTAAATGATAAAACTCATGCTTCACACATTAGCTTATTTTAAATATATAAAGTTTTACATTCTTCCATTGCATTCAATTTTTTTTTTCATGAATAAAATTATATTTATAAAGTTTTACAGAAATTGATAAATCTTTATACTATTTCCTGTTACAAATATATTTATCTCTCTCATTATTATAATTGATATTTGACTATAGTAAAATTACATGAAACTAAACTTATTGAAAAACAAATAATCAATATAATTGATATTCATGAACTAGAATTTTATTAATTCTTAATAATTCCGTTATTTATTTATTTTTCCGATATTTCCTTTTTAAATAAACGGATTCAATCATTAATAGTTTATTTATTATTAATTAAAATTTCGTTTTATAAATATAAATATATCATTCAAACTATTCTTTTTTTCACTCGTAATCATTTGATTTTGTAATTATATTGAATCATGAATTAATATATATAATCGAACATAAAGCAGCGATATATATGTAATATCTAAAGCATAATTTGATTGCACATGCAATGTCGATAATGATGAATATTAGTTAGCATATGACGATTCACCTATTGGCTTCCTCCAGCTTAGCTAATAGAGCCAGTTCGTCGGTGGGTATTTCCTGCAACGAGTTTATATTTTCTTCTTCAGATGAGATTGGTGATGTGTTTGAAAGTATTTTGCTTGCTTGATTGTTGTTCTGACTGGTCTGATGTACTGTGGTGCATAAACACAATACACTCATCACCTGCGGTCCATAACGTGATAATCCTAACTGTCCAGCAGCCTGCTTCTCTTGACCCCTGCAAAACAATTATCGTTACATATCGTGGCATATCGTGATGTAATTGAATTGATATTATGAACTTTTATAGTTTCGTGCTGATTATAAGACTTCCTAATGCAAACTAATGCGAATAATATTATTAAAAATATATATTGAAGTTTCAAAATAATTAACTACAATTGGACCACTTCATAGCCAAAACATTAGATTAAAAAAAGGAATATTTATTAAATCTTTTATATAAAAATACAATACAAAGTATGTTAAATAGGATATATATAAGTATATTAAATAAAATTATTTTAATAGTATTAATTTTTATTTATATTATTTTTGCAAAGTTTCCAATTATAAAAGGGTAAATTATTTATAATTACGACGAATGAGTGCTCAATACAAAATATATCAAGAGAAATTTTTAGAAATTTTAGAATTAGATAATATTTTTTATTCTATTAGCATAAAAATATGAAATCTTAAGATGAGAATATATTAAAATTATAAAAAAAAATATTAAAAAAAAATTGTATATATAAAACTATCAATTTATTCATATTTTCTTACGTAACAATTTTATTACGCATTGCTGTTGAAAAAAAAGCATACGAAACACGATTATATTTTTTATTTCAATTTAATTATTTCCTCACGCAATTGAGGAAAGATCGTCGATAACATGTATGCATTTATATCTTATATGCATATATATATATTTCATCTTTTTAATGTAGAAATTAATTAATGAAAAAAATAAAAAAGAAAAGTGTAAAAATTTTGTTAACGAATTTTTTTCAATATCAATTTACAATATATTTTCTTTCATTAATTCATCATTAAATAAAATATCGATCATATACGATCGATTCAAATAATAACAAGTGAATCGATCTTCAATTAAAATTTGAATCCTTCTTTAGTTTTTTTCTATGAATTATCCTTATGGATAATTCCAATAATTATTCGTTATCTGTCGAATTCAAATCATCGAATTAATATTTTTTTTATCGCTAAAAAATTTAATTTTGAAGAAAAAAAAATTTCATTTCAATTTGAATTAAAATTTTTCTTTTTGGAAGCAAGATAAAAATTCAAAAACTATTATATGTAATTTTTGTTTTATAAATATTTTTTTAAAATATAGATTTAAATATTTATTATTTATGTATGAAACAAAATATTTAAATATATGTTATACATGATCTATATTAATTTTTTAGTAGAACTTTTTTAGTAACTATTTAAGTGAATCTGCTATTCAATGTCGCCACATTAAATACAACATAGAAACATAAAAAAAAAAATGTATATAATTAACGATTAACAATTCTCGATCTGAAGATTTGAAACTAAAGACAAAATTCAAATTTATATTGCGAGTATAGATCACACGATATTATAAAAGAAACAATTTAAAATCTTATAATTATAATAAAGTCATAGTTAATTTATACTTCGATAGAAGTATATCCGACTTCGTTTTATTTGATCCATAATTATCCTTACAATAGATCTTTAATATTGAAATTTTTCATTTTCTTAGGATATTCATTTTCTTTGCTATATCGCGAAATAATTGTAAATATTATCCTTATGATTTTTTTTTAATTTAATTATATAACTTAAAAATAGAATCTAATAGTAGAATAGAATATTTAATGAATTAATTGTATCGATTCTTTCGAGATTTTTGATAATATAATTTGTATAAACGTGCAAAAGAAAGATAAAAATCTCCATTTAATGGTCTAAAGGAAATAATATCTATTACATCAATATGACGAATATTATTCGATATTACAAGGCAAGAATAATCATATATTCTACCTTGTTTTATTTCGTGTCCATCGCGCCGCCGCTGGTGCCAGCAAACCACGAAGAACCATCGAGAAATTTTCTCGTCACTCGCGTAACTTTCGATTGAAAATCGGATTCGAAATCAGCCTCCAGTCTTCTATTTGTTCAATTACTTTTCTCCGCAAAATACTTGTCGCAGCATTCAATGTTTCAATAATTTTTCAATAAGCGGAATCATTTTACTTATATCATTCAATTGCATATTTTTCTACGAGTATCTTTCGAGACTGATCACAAAAGTTTATCGATTAAAATTTTAAAGCTTTTTAAAAATTCGAAACATTTTTATACTGTTACATAAAAAATCTTTAAAAATCTGCAAAACTAAGATTTCGATAAAATTAGAAAATTGTCACAACATTAGAAATTAAACTTTCTTTTTCTCGATTACTTTCCATTCTGGATAAAATATGCATTAGAGGAAATCAGAAAAGAAATCTTGCAAAATGACTCACTGCAACTGTCTAACGTTAATACTTTATAACTTATCCTTGAAACCGAAGTTTCTTTAACCGATCGAAAAGTTTCACGGTTTCTTCTTCGATCAAAGTTATTTTTGTTAGACATCGGAATTTTTATTAAAATATTTATTTATATGACTTATATCTTCATTATATTTATATTATTATATTAAACATTTTATTCAATATTTAATTTTTATTGTTAATAACTTTATCTATATTCTATATTATTATAATATTATATATTATTTTCTATTCTCAAAAAAGATAAACGAATGTTGTTAATTTTTGCCATTTCAGATCTTCAATTTTTCACTTCGATTCGAAGTTAGCAAATGTATAATAGCAACAAAAAGAAAGCCGAACAATTAGCATGTGCAAATGAATTAGCGAACGAATGCAAACATTCGTAACAATATGCCATACTGGCTACGAAATGGGATAATTTATGTTTCTCAGTTCTTTAAATTATCATGGAATTTCAACTGCATCTGCGTGATGAAAGGTATTATCATATAAACGATCCTTTAAGATGCAAGTTTCTAATGCTAAATTAAATTAAATATTATAATATAATACATGCAATTACATGATAAATTTATGATAAAAAAAACTAAAAAAAACTAAAAAAAATGTAACAAACAAATAAATAATAATATTATAATTGAAAATTTAAAATGTTAAAGATGAAAAGTTATAAATTTTATTAAAAAAATTTGTATATGCTTTAAAACTTTAAAACATATTCTTGGAAGTACTCATAACATCCTCTAGATAAATCGTTTATCATTCTCTTATCTCATTTTTGAAAGAAAATATATTCATACCACTTGTATAATAATTTATGAATAATATAATTAATGATAAATAATTTATGATGAATAAAAATAAATAATAATTAATATTAACATATATGTTTTTATTTTGTAGTGAAATTAACGTGAATTAATATAATTTGATCTTTTCTTTTTTTTAATTACTTTATTCGCTATAATTTCCATTTTTTCATCTTATATTATCGAAGATAATATAAATAAATATAAATATAGAATTATTGATGAAAAATAAAGATGATGATAATAATAATATAACAATAATAAAAATAGAAAAAGATAATAAAATGAATTTGTTTAATATAAATATAGAAAATAAAAGAAATATTTTGAGAAATCTTTTATTAATCAAATTACGTACAAACGAAGTAAATTATTTATTCAAATATACAATTTTTTTAAAATTTTTCGCCATTCAAAAAATTATGGCTATAATAGATATAATTTATACTTTGATTTACTATTGTATTGTCAAAGATCTATAATATATTTTTGTAAATCTTTTATCTTTACAAAAAAATTCTCATTAAATTAATTCTAAGCTTTGAGAATTCTAAATTATAAGAATCTTTTTTATCAAGATAAAAAAATCGCGTGATTATTGATTGACCATTTCTTAGCCATGTCCCATTTCGTTTCGTTCCTAAAAATATAATAAATTATAGGTGTGTCCAAATTTTTGACACTGGTATGTTTCAAGATATCACGCTCTATATTTGCGTTAGGAAATACATGTATATATAAAATTTTTATATAATAACAAATGATGCTGTCTATAACTATTCAGAAGATAATATATAAATAACAAAAAAGAAAAAAATAAAAAAGAATATTACAAAATTGACATTATTTTTTAAAAAATTCAATTTATACAATTAATAGATAAAAAAAGAAAAAGAAAAATATCAATATACGATATCCAACCATATAAAATATTTGGCTTTAATGTATCAATAAAAAAACAAATATTTTATTTGAAAAATATATAAATTTAAGCTGAATTTAACTTAAATCTAAACAGACACATCGTTTATCAAAATTATCATACTGCAAAAATGCGTTTTCCAATTTTTTTGAGACTTTATCAAATTTTATTTTAACTTTAGAAAAAAAAAAAGAAACTAAATGCTTCCACCAATTGATCTCAAAAGCTGTTTTTGTTCCAATTTTCAATTAATTCTGGTTCATTATATATTAAAGACCATTTTTTAATCCAAATAAAAATGTTAATCAATGACAATTATATACATATAATTAATATACATATAATAACAATTATCCAAATTACAATTAAATAAACAATAAAATATTTTTCATATAAATTATCTCTTTCTATCCAACTTCTATCCAACACAATTTCACTCTTTTAAAACAGATTAATTTTAATTCAAATTTTAATTTTAATTTAAATTCTTCCACTATTTATCTTCAAAACATTTGTTTTTCTAATTTCTAAGTATATTTCATTATATAAATCAATACATTATCCTTCATTTCAACAAAAATCTTAATACATCTTAAATACAAATTATCTATTATATAATATTTAATAAATCTATTTAATCAAAATCTAATTACATAAACTCCAAAATCTTCTTCTCTTAAAGTAAAATTAAAATACAATTTAAAAATAATACAATAGTATAATTTAAAGAGAG